GGGTTTCGCTGTTCTATTGTAAATAAATCTTAACCAAAGATTCCTAATTGCATCTACTTTCGGAAGGCCAAATATAGTGCTTTTGCTTTCGCCTAGAAACACACAGCGTCTCCTTGACATGGCTGCTTCAACACTAACTGCTGTTACTGAAACCATGCCTTCTTTCTTTGCGTGCACATTTGGGCGGCATTATGCAAATATTTCCACATAGTGAGGTAGATATGTGGGGGCGTGTTAGAACGAGCCGTTTTAGGGGGGCGTGGCAGAGTCTTAACTTTGATAAAGAATATCTCTTTGGTTTTGAGACTTTAGTCTTTGCAACTTCAGGGATCTTATCTATGCACAGCTTGTAACACTCCAAAGAGAAAGGAAAACTTGAAATCGCATCATATGACCCCTTTAATGTAATACATTTCAAACGTTATATCACAAAGCATTGCAGAAAATAAAAAAACATTAATTAATATAAATAAATTAAATATTTTAATTACATTAAATAAAATATTCTCATTATATATATATATATATATATAAACATTCAAAGAAATATTTATTTAATACATTTCGAGCATTATCATGTTTTACAACACCTAACGTGACTATAAAACAACAACATTATTAGTATTTTAATCTTCTTATGAATGCAAATGAATATGACTGAAAATTATCAGTGTTGGCGAGGAATTATTTTACTCTTAGCATTACATACTACATCACAATAAACTTGTTTCCTATACTTATTATACAAATGGAAATTGTACCTCTGCAGCAGCTTGTACACTGAGCTGCTGGTAATTGTTAGTGGTTCTGTTGAGTTTGTCCAGAAGGTCTTGAATCTCAGCTAACTCTAATTCAATAATGCGTAGAGACACGGCTGCATACAGATTTCCGTTGCCTTCTTTTTCCAGCATGGACACATTGTCCAGAAGCTGCCGGATACGGTGTTGTAGACCCAACACCAGCCTGTCAATCTCGGTCATCTTATTGAAAAGGTAACAGTTAAATAAGAAATTTTCCATCAGTATATAGATTTGTAAATAATTATACTGCAAATTACAAAAAAAAAAATGTCATGCATGCCTGATTTTTGGGCTGCACAATTAATCGAATTTCTAATCGCAATTACAATTATGGATGCCACAATTACGTAATCGTTCAAAGTCCACTTATGTTATTCTGTGCGCTTAAGATATGTTTTTTTCTTTCTACATGTTATCTTAAGGGGTTTTTCCCATTGTTTTAGTTTTAGTATAACATTATAATACCATTCATATTTTTACTTAAAAAAAAAAAAAAATTTAAAGAAGAAACCAATCCGATGTATATTTGACATTTGAGGCTTAATAGGCCTACTATAGAAAAGCACTAAAGGTTTTTCAGTTAGAGTGTTTTCAGCTTGTTGCATCAAACAATGGTATAAACATCATTCAATGTAAATTGTGATAATCGTAATTAATAATCGCAATTACAATTTAAAGGGAATAATCGACCATTATGATTTTTGTCATAATCGTGCAGCCCTACCTGATTTGCAACCCTAAACATCACAATATTGACATGTTTCTTTCTACCTTTTCCGAAGTGATGTTCCCAGTGCATTGTGTAGCAGTGAACTCAACGTTATTGAGTTTATTCTCAGGGAAAGCAGGATCAGAATTGTGTAGCTCACACACACAGTCCTTCCCTCTCGCTGACTGTGACTATGAAATAACAGCGCAAATCCAACATACAAGCAATATCATGCCTTAAAAATTGTAATATATAAAAATATTGAAAAATGGTGTCAGAAACATATAAATAATGGATAATAAATAAATAATAAAATAAAAATAATGGGAAATTAAATTTTACCTGTGAGAAAATTAGAGGAATGACAACCATCAAAATGAATATGTTCGACTGACTCATGTTTGAGATAGGACAGGTCCGCAGCCTTGAGAATAAAGAACAGTTCTGCATGTCAGAAGCTCAGATTTAAAGCCAAAAACCTAGGATTGCTTAGTGAGTCGAAGGTTTCTGCTGACATGAGAGAAATTACGAAATGAGGAAGTTTATCATGTGATCCTGCACATATTTTGGATTATGATTTTTGTTCATATTGTCATCATATAGTATATGTGATTGATAGGTAGCCTACGTACTAGAAAATAATATCATTGCCATAACCATTTGTAAGCAGAGGTGAATACCAGTTTTGCTGACATGACAATAAAAAGTTAGAAATTTCCTCTTCATGAATTGGCTTTTTTTCTTGAGATTATTAGTAAAATACATGTATAATTCAGGTTGTTTAACATTGCACTGACATAAGAAAAAAAAAGGAAACATAACTAAAAGATTGTGTTTCCTTTATTTCTGCTATTTCAATATGATGATGCAATACCGAAACAAATTTGCATAATAAAAGTGCAGATATCTGCATAAAATTTAGGATTACCTGAGGTGATAACCTTTTTTTTAGAGAACTTGTGGTTGAATTTTCCTACATTTCTCAACTAAATTTCAGAAATTAGACGTGTGCAGTTTTCACATCCTTTTCAACAGCCCCGCAAAACTGCTCATTTTCATAGCTAAAATTGCAACATCTTAGTGCATGTGTGGTGATTTAAAGCAGATCTCTAGTCTTTCAGCCCATTTGGTCATCATGTTCGTCTACCTGCTGCTCCTCACAGTCATCGTAAGTTTTTCTTCCATGAATAAGGTCATATGTTTCTCGCATTCCGACAACTCTGAAAAAGAATGATTTTGAGAGAAAATATGAGAGAATTTATCTATGATACAATAATCTGATTGTGTTTGTACATTAGGTGACTGTCGAGGCTCAGCGAGTTCCAGGTCAACAGAAGACTGATTCATGTTTGTGTAAAATAAATAGCTCTATCTGGACTTTCCCTGCTGTGCAGTTTATGGAAGTCACAAGACAGGTCCAGATCTGTGAGGACAACCTGAATGAGTTTGAGGAAAAGGTAAGGTATCGATTAAGCTTCTCATGACAATTAGAACTAAATGGACACTGTATTGACTTTCAAATGATATTCATTACAATTGAGAAGAATATCAGTTAACTTTCTGTAGTGACTTGCAGTTGAGGAACACAAATGCAGAACTGCCGATGATGGAAGGCACTCTGCAGAACATCTCAGCCCGTCTGAAAGCATTTGGTTACCTTCACACAAGTGGACTGTACAGCGCACTTCATCTGCAACAGCTGAACCAGGAACTTGAGGAAATCCATCAATCTGTCAATGAAACGCACATGCAGAACCCCAACAAAGAGACGCATAGCCTACTCAGTGAGGTAGACATTGCAACACATGATCATAGGCGTAGCTTGACGTTTGAGTTTGGGGGGGCCAAACCGAACCGGCATGATCACAAATATTTCTCTAAACTCCTTTCTTTCAAATCAATCTCGAATTAGAGATAACCATCTCAACAATATAAAAGTATAGGTGTCCAATTTAATGAGACCGTCTGTTGTTCTCAGTTAAATAAGGCGAAAAATGATGTCCAGAAGATGTACAAAGATGATTTCTTCAACCTAGAGACCATGAAGAAGAAGTTACGTGACCTCAACAACCGTGCACAGAGTTGCAAGACCATGCCAAATGATTTCAGAAGTACGTACAATACTGTCTTTCATAAGTTCTATTTTTTTTATGAAGGTAGGATATAGAAACTTTTAAGGAACATACTTGCTTTTAAATGCCATTTTCTGAATTATGAAGGTCCAAAAAGGTTTTAACAAACTAAAAAAACGTGTTACTAAATTACTTGCAGGTACCTGCCATCAGCGCATCATGACCAGAATAAGTTCTCCAAGCATGACCAAGCTCAATTCCATCAGCAAGTCCTATATTTCAGGTGCTTGGGGCCGTGATGCCCTGCTAAGCAGTAAGGAACGCTACTGGGAACACTGTCTGGTGAGTGGACACAAACATGGCAACACAATCAGGATGTACAACTCACGCGAAGACTTCATGGCTAACAGGAACTACAAGGACGAACAGATAGCATCATCCTACAGCGACAAAAATGCCGTTCAGGGCTCTGGCACTATTCTGTACGACAACACTGTATTTTATCAATGCTACAGCACCGCTGAGATCTGCAGCTTCAACATTACGACAAAAGCGACCAAGCGTATGAAACTGGATGGTGCTGGAATCGACAAGTTCCCGTTCTGCTACTACAGCTGCCGTGATTGGACAGACATCGACCTGGAGGCTGATCAGGACGCCGTGTGGGTGATATACGCCACCGAGGAGAACCACGGCAACATTGTTGTGAGCCGTTTAGATCCTCTGTCGCTCAATATCACACATACCTGGAAGACGCATCTCTTCAAGAGGTCCGTCACCAGCACGTTTATGGTGTGCGGGGTCCTGTATGCTACACGCTATGTTAATACTTACCAAGAAGAGGTGTTTTATGCTTTTGATACAACCACTGGTCAAGAGATAAACTCTCTTTCTTTGCCCTTTGAGAAGGTTTCTCCTGGAATAGCCAATCTGAACTACAATCCTGTTGATGGGAAACTCTACTTGTATAACGACGCCTATCTTTTATCATACGATACCTTCTTCTAAGGGCGTTTCAAACGCAGTTGCCCATTAAAAAGTGTGTTGTTTCAAATTCAAAACTAGTCTGTTTTATTTCCCACAGCTTTTATGTAGATGGTTCAGAAATGTCTTACTAATGGCAATTAAGAGAGTGCCTCTCAAAAACATGACATTCAGAAACTATGAGACAGAGTACAAATAAACATACAAACAAAAGCAAAAATAACAAATAAATGCAAAAATGTCAGAATGGACATGCAACAATTAACATTTGCCGCCTTCAAGTCTGCAATAAAAGGTACAAAACGTCAAACTCCAGCACCCTCTGGTGTTTGGATGGAAGGCTCTTCAGACTGTGCTGTTTCTTGCTCTTGTGTTCCTGGTTTTGAATGCTCCTGTTCAGTCTGTTCCTGATCATCTGGAAAATGCAAAGACAATCCAACATATTCTACAAACTTCATGCTTAATGTCAGTACTTACAACTCAACATTAGCTTTACTGAGGCGAAAGCAATTAGAAAGCATATTATTGGATGAGCCATATTTGAATAGCTGATGTTCACACACTTGTGACCACACATCATCTGTTGCTTTGTTTACTTGGTGGAAGAATTGTTTATTGTGATTATGTGTATTTTTTATTGAACACTGGTATCTTTAATCATATACTCCAATTCATGTTGTGCTCATTACTTCAATAAATGTCTTTTTAGTTTGACTGAAGAAGACTGGCCATGTGGACCTCTTTGTACAGTGAATTTAGGGCACTCGTTATTGTGCCTCTCTTCGCTTTGATTTTATAGACAGGATCGATCTTATGGGTTTTTCTTTGTCCCTCACTGTGGAGCCAGTAGTGCTTTATGAGTCATTATAACTCGGCACACTGCTCTATGAGTCACAGGCTAGAAGACAAGTGGCTCTTATAATTGGAGGTGTGAGCAAAGGTCAGACTGAGCTTGTTATTGGTCAGGTGCTTCAAAAGATTAGCATGGTTGCTGAGTCAATATGACAGGCAGGGATCTTGTGGGTAACCATTATATGAGCACATGAGCATTTCAGAGCAACTGTTCTGCTGAGATTGGAGGGTATCACAATTCATATGTGTTGGTTACAGCTGCTAGATGGAAAATAAAACACTCACCTGAGTCTGAGGGAATATTGTCTAGCCTGTACATCAAGAACTTGTTTTCTACAGAATATGTAAATAAGAATAAAATAAATTGTTCAATAATCTTTTAAATAATTTCTTTAAAAAAAATCATTTTAATCTGTAACTTTTTAGCTAATATTTTATAATTTAGCAGTATCGTCTGATGAAGGATATTTAATTGTGCATCCTGTTTTCTTCTATTCTTACATTTAGATGACCTTTTTTTTCATCTAACACTCAGAATTAATTTAGAGTTAGGGAATGAAGTTTTGAGAGACTCAAACATACAAGGGAACACATCTTCTTTCAATTTAAAAGTCTCTAGGTCTAAACTTTGCACCCCCATATTAAATATATACAGTACACACACACACACACACACACACACGTCTGGTTTGCTATCCTTGTGGGGACTCTCCATAGGCGTAATGGTTTTTCTACTGTACAGACTGTATATTCTATTGCCCTACACCAACCCTACACCTAAACCTACCCCTCACAGGAAACTTTGTGCATTTTTAGATTTTCAAAAAACTTCATTCTGTGTGATTTATTAGCTTGTTTACCTGTGGGGACCTCAATTTAGGTCCCCACCGTGACACGAGTCCCCATGAGTCTGTGTGTATTCAGGTTTAAGTCACCGTTAAGTCACCACCAGAACAGAAAAACAGGTACACACACACACACACACATCACTGATTCTTGATAAGGAACAAAACATGCTTTAAAATGTGACTTTCTATTATTTAATGATACATTATTTATACGCTGATATATTTGTAGAGAAAGATCTCCGATAATGAACCATGTAAGGGAACAGATTTTTTTGAAAATGTTTTTTTTCTAAAAATGTACATTAATTTGCTTCATAGCTTAATTTGTGTCAGCTCCGTCAGATGCATTAAAAGCATGATATTTTAATTTGATCCACCCAATAACAGTGTGAAGTCTTCAATTATGTAATAATGGTGTTCAGTAAAGGAGCTGAAGTGATTAAATACATTCTCTACATTGTTTCCCATTTTCACACTATTATGAACAATCCAATTCCTAAATTTCTTAATTTTCCACCATCCTTTTTAATATTTAACATATATAGCCTATGTTCTTTGAGAACATAGACATAATATCATGTAGTTCCGTTCATGTTTTACTATTTTAAAACAATAAATTGAACAGCTGACAAAGGTCCAACTGAGGTTACAACAAATGATTGACAAGACAACAAATTAAGACAACTAATTTTTAAACTGATATTTAATTTAATACA